AACACCGCTCCTCCGGCGTAATGACAATACACTAGCTATAACAGATCAGGATAAAGCAAATACCCTCACCGTAGAATTGTCAAATGTCTTTAAACCACACTCTATTTCTCCACCATTGCATCATATCGAGACAGTTACACATTTCATTCAGTCACCACTACCTTTATCTTTACCAGCCAAACCAACTACTCCTAATGAAGTTTATACTATTATAAAAAAACTTGTGAACGGAAAATCACCTGGAAATGATCTAATAACCAATAAAATTATAAAAAATCTTCCTAGAAAATCAGTCATTTTGTTATTTTACATCTATAACGCAGCTCTTAGGTTATCTTATTTTCCAGCATCCTGGAAATCATCAGTAATTGTTACAATTCTCAAACCTAAGAAACCTCTTNATCATCGGTAGTTGTTACAATTCTCAAACCTGGGAAACCTCCCGAAGATCCCTCCTCGTACAGACCAATAAGTCTTCTACCTGTCTTAGGTAAAATATTAGAAAAAATTATATTAAAACGTCTTTTATTTATCACTCAAAAAAATAATAACATTCCTGAATTTCAATTCGGATTTAGAGCAAAACATTCAACTATTCATCAACTACACCGTGTTGCTGATACAATTTCAACAGCACTAGAAACAAAGCAATACTGTGCTGGAGTCTTTCTAGATGTGGCAAAAGCCTTTGACTCTGTTTGGCATGAAGGACTTCTATTCAAATTAAAAAACATTTTCCCAGCTCCTTATTACCTCATACTCAAATCATACCTGCAAAACCGTTATTTTAAAGTCCGTCATTATCTCCAACACTCCCCATTATACCCAATATATGCTGGTGTGCCTCAAGGTAGCGATATTGCGCCATTCTTGTACACAATATATACATCTGATCTACCTTTATCGGATACAACAGTACTTGGTACCTATGCTGATGACACGGCCTTAATATCATCTTCATTAGATCATAAAGTTGCCAGTCAACAGTTACAAGTACATCTAAATATGCTTTCGCTCTGGTTCAAGACCTGGCGTGTCAAAATAAATAAGTCAAAATCTTCTTTCATTACATTCACTCTTAAAAAACATGACGGCCCATTAATTACTATTAATAACATTATTATTCCTCATTCAACCGAGGTTAAATACCTAGGGTTAATTTTTGACCGAAGGTTAACCTGGGGTCCTCATTTAAAAGAAAAAAGGAAAAAACTGAACTCGAGACTTCATTTACTAAGACCTTTGCTTAAGTCAAATATTTCTTTGTCAAATAAAATTATATTTTACAAAACATTACTCCAACCACTATGGTCTTATGATATAATAATTTGGGGACCAGCAAAAAGTTCTAACCAGAGAACAATCCAAAGTTTCCAAAACATCTGCTTAAGAATCATAACAGGGGCGCCCTGGTACGTCACAAACATGGCCCTACATTCAGACCTCCTTCTCAACACAATTAAAGAAATGGCAAGATTATATTATAAAAGATTCTGGATGAAACTTGAATTCAACCCCAATATATTAATTCAAATGCTGAGCGCAAACGCCTTGTCTGGCAATCCAGTAAGACGTCTTAAGAGAGAATGGTGCAGAGACCTATTATCTTTATAAATGATTTAATCTTGTTAACATTACGTAATTAAAACTCCTAATTATTGTACAAACTACTATACCATTATATATTATTATTATTATTATTATTGTTAATATTATGTAATAAAACTAAATATAAATTTTCAATATCAGGCGGCTCCAATGGGAGCGACCTCACAGGCTACTAATGTTAAGTATTTTATATATGTACATTTTCTAAACTATTTACTTATTGTAAAAATTTTTTTTTACAGATTGTAAATTTCATAAATAAAACAAAAAAAAAATACTAAATAAGATTCTTCTATAAAAACATTTTTAAAAAATATATATTTATTGTTTCTGAATTTTTAGATCGCTAATTTTGAAATTTAGGGACGCAATTGTTCTTAATCCTAAGTCCAGTACGAGTTCACTTAATTTTTTCGTATATCATATAATCATCATTTAAATCATTATGATTAATTTTTTTTCGGAGTACAATATTTAAAAGAAAAAGGCCAAAACTGTAAAAAATTTTTATGGTTATTTGATATAAATGCTACTGACTTTTTCACTAAAATTATAGAAAACGTAAAAAAATAATTCAGATAAATTGATATCATAATTTTATACATGTAGTTCAAATATTAAATCAAATAATTATCTGATATATTTTGTATTATACTACTGAGTAGTATTTTAGTTATTTAAAGAATATTTAAGATGTTACCTTGAGAAGCTAAACAAAAACTGACAACAAAAATCGATTGATTCGACAAAATCTAAAAATATAATAATTATATCATTTTTTCCTTAATTAATTATAAAATATAAATAAATATTAAATTTAGCAAATGAGCACATCGAATTTGTCTTTATGCAAATAGGATTTTATTTTTAAATGTATAAATTATATAATTAATTATATTAATATGGAAAGTTATCAGCATCGTTATATTTTTGATAATATTATAATATATCTAATTTCTTAGAATTCTTACCATTTTTTAAAAATTAATTCACTGTAAAATAACATTAACTATTATTCTTTGATATTATAAACGCTAATACTTTAAACTAGTTACGCAATTTCTAAATAATTTGATCTGTTTTATGTTCACTAAAAGTTAGTACTCAAAAACTATACATCGTTATGAATTTCTGTTCATAAATTACAAGTCTGTAAAACTTGTACAAATAAATAAAAATTCAAAAATCTTTTAAAATTATTTCGTTTGTATCTTCATGTGTACAAAGCTTAAATAGCAATATACGTGTATAAAATTTATATAGGATACATTCTATAAACGTCACGTATAAGTATAATATACAGAAAAAAACCCAACACAGTGGAGACTCGGCACAGTGAGGACGTGGCATAGTTGGGTCAAGTATAATGATATCTGACAGTGATTAAAATCACTATCATAAAAAACGCTTCGATGCAAATCTGTAAATAGTGTTTAATTTTAACAAATTGGTGAATTATTCCAAAAGCTACAGGATATTTTATTTCCTTATTTATATATTGATTACAAGTCTTATGATTTATATGTATAAAGGGAAATGGTTCTATTTAAAAAAAAAGTATGACGAATGAAAGAGGTATATAAATAGTATTTATCATAAAAAAATTATATATTTTTCAATAAGTTAAAGCATTATAAAAATAAAAATAAAAAAAAAAAATTATTTTACAAAAATTGTATTTTTTTATTAACTTTGATGTTAGTTTTCACCATGAGAACAAACTAAATTCTGAATTTTTTTTCCATTATTAAGTATATTACATAAGTTTTAATTTACTTTATATATAAATATATCAGTAATTCCGGAACATATTCAAGAGTTGAATTGAAAAAGTTAATTTTTTATGAAAAAGTTGTCATTTTGAATCCATTCCTGTGGACAGGTGAAAGATCAGATTTATAAAAAAAATATATCAAATGATAGATAAAGATATCATGCATCTAAAAAAAAAATTATATTGGTTTGGTTACTATTGAAAAAGTTATGGCAGTTTTAAGTAAAAAAAATTCGAAAGTAAGCGATTTTTAAATTTATAATTTTTTTGAAGATTTTCTCCATTTATGGTGAACAAAGGAAATTGTTTTATTTTTAAGGGTAATGTCTTCGACAAGATACGATTTGTAATCTTTAGACGTATCGTTGAAAGATATCGGCTGAAATAAAAAATTCAAAAAAATTTTTTAAATGATTGCGTTTGTATCTTCACAATGCTAAAAAAATGTATATTAAAATTTATATAGTATACATTTTATAAACGTCACGTATAACAAGTATAATATACAGAAAAATTTATAACTGTTCGAAACCGATGGATTTGATTTAGTCGATAATTCATATTAAAATTGAATAGTAATTATACATATATGTTATTATACTTATATGTCATAAACAGACACTTATTACTTTTTTTTTTTTACATTTTATACCTCAGTATTTTTAAACAAATAATTCTTTTGTATACAATGTGTAAAATATAATATTAAACAAGAATATTGTTAAGGTAGACCTAAATTTTAATAAAGACCACAGATATTAATTACTAAAAAATATATCATTCTGTAAAAAAGGTAACTTTATTGATAATCCAGACTATCATAATATCAGATACCATAGCTAGACAAAATTTACTATGTACTTGTATGTTTATATTTATATCATATGTATATTTAGAGAATAAAGATTATAAATTTATATATGCATGTGTCTCAGACGTATGAAAGCGCTTATAATTCTTGTAACAACTATCATTTGGTTGACATTTTTTTTTAATATTTATTGTCCCTTAAGACTAAATTTGAAGTATATCTATTATTATTCATCACGGCAAAGAACAAAAATACAAATATGTTTACTCTACTCGCGTTTCATTCTCACTCCATACATTAAAATACTTGCATCTCAATGAATAGTTATTCTAAAATTGTTATCAAACATTTTTTGTAAGAAAAAAACTAATTTAAAATTTTAGAAAAAATGTATTTTTATTTATTTTTGAATGAGTGATAAATAAAAAATATGCTTTAAACGTAGTCTAAGAAGGAAATACTTATTTATAAAAAATTTCAAAAAAATTATAAGCATTGACAGTTAGGTCTGAGTACTCTGCACCTGCAACACATATGATTATATTTATAATTGGAATAGTGGTGTACGCTAATAAATAATTTTTGTTTGACTGATTAGGACGAAGAAACGAAAGTTAATACAATTAAGACTTTATAAAATATTGTTCAATTGAACTTGTTTTTTTAAAAATATTATATTTGAAAGTACAACAATAAATTGTATTAGTTAGCGCTATCTATTCTAACATTAAAATAACTTACAGCTTATACGACGGACACAGTTATTTTTGAACATGAATAATTTTACTGATTACAAATAACTTTAAAAATGTTATAACGGGCGGCGTTTTAAATTGACCTAACTGTTACAGGAAGCACACAAAAGCCACAGATGTATAATGAGTTTTCTATTACCAATACAATAATTTAAAATTATTTGACATGCTATTATTATATTATTTATTGAGACATTGGTTCATAAAAATTTAAGAATATTTTAATAATATTAAAATTTGTTGAATGAATTTAAATAAAATAGTAGTTTTAATTGATACAAAATCAAGATGGAAAAATTGTACGTTGTTAATGAGGTTATACAAGTAGTTCGTAATACACTATGAAATTGAGGAGAGCATGTATTTTTAAAGGGATTTTTTAGATGTTAATTATTTTTGCAATTCATTAAATTTTACATTTTGTGTAAATTTAATGTTGTACGTGTTTTATATTGTATTATGTTTTACGAAATATTTTACAAAAAAATCATTTAAACATCGTACTCATTTATATTTCAACCAAAATTTAAGCATAGATCAGTTATTTTCTTCGAGTTATCAAAGGTAAAGTGATCACAATAATTGATTAATACGTTTTATGAACAATATAACATTTATTATAGTATGGGCACAAAACTAATTTATATAATATTAAATAATTCTTAAAATATTATTTTTATATTATTATTAACATGAATGTTATTAGTTTATATGTTTAAAGTTTTAATTTTAAACTTTGTTTGGCACTTTTCAAAACAGTCGAGCGCGATATAATTTCATAATAATTGGAATTGGTTGCGATTTTAGAAAAATAATCATAAGAGAACATTTTAATAAAAATTATTATGTATGACAAACAAAATTATGCAAAACCGTTCAAATAATTTAATACGCCGTTTGAGTGTTGTTTGTATATTTTTCGTTGTGTCTGAATATTATAGTGTTTGCAATTTTTTTAATTAATGTCAATGTCGTCTTCGTACTCGCTGCCTGCGTCATAGTCGTCTCGCTTGCCCAGTCCAAAGCCGTACTGGAGACGTGCTCTTCTGACTGCTGGGTGCCATATGAGAGTAGAGTCGTCCATAGAGTCTGCCCATTCTCCTAGACTTGCACCTCGTTTGCCGAGACCAAATGCAAATCGCTGTCCGTGTACGTCGTCTGATGTTCTCTTTTTTTCTTCTGATAGGTCGTTATAATCGGCTTCTTTTTCATCAACGTTTAAAAATGATGGGTTAGATACCTATTGAATCATAACTTGTATTAGAATCAAGTAACAGGCTGATACTATCACAAAAACATGGATTACGTTCCCTTAGTTTTAAAAGGTTCTATCAAAAAGCTGTCTATATAGATATATTTACAAATTAAAGAAGAAGAAAAAATAGATTAATTTTAGAAAAAACTTAATAGTAAAGGTAGTTAAACATTGGTTTTTAAGTTTATCTCGTCAAAGAAGGAATAGAGTTTAAGTTTTCAAATAAACTTATTATTTTAAGGATCAGTTTGTTTTCGCTTTAATTTGTCAGTGACTGAACTAATGAAATCTCACAAAGTAAAAGAGCTTATCGATTCTTCCCCAAATGGTATTTCTAGATATCCTCATTGTTTGTTTAATAAGGATTAACCTTCTAATAACATCAACTAAAGCTTTAATTCTCAATAGTTTCTTATGGGGTTAAACATTGTAAGTTAATAAATTACTTTCTTTAAATTCTATACTATTTTATGTGATTACCGGTATAAACTTATGTAGTTGAATGTTTTAATGATTTAGATAAATCTTAAGTAGTAAATTTTCTCTCTCTTGTCAATATTTAATGCATATAATGGACAACATCATTACATTTAACTATTGAAATAATATTTTTTAAAAATGTATTCTTTATTTTTGATTTCATTCTTTTGTAATTGTTAACCAATTTAATAATTCTGTTAAAACAGTGTACTAATAGTTTAAATCTAACGTACTTTTATTAAATTTTCAATTAAAAACAAACATGAAATTAAAGTTTTTGTTTTTTCGCTCAAGGCTGATGTGAGCATTAAAACATAACATAACCGTGAGGCTCTGTTATCACAGTTCTAATATTAATATTATTAAAACAGCTTCAGGCTTTAATGCTGTAGACATTTTTTTGTACAGGCCGCGGAAACATTTACATGTTATTTTTCACACAATTTTATTCGTTTTGAGGTTACTTGTGTATAAAGTTCAATCACATTCTAAACACAAATTTCCATTAAGTAAATTTGAATTTTATTATTTCTTTCGCAATTTTGACTTTTTGCCACTTTAATGTTGGTCATATAATACTTAAAGATGGTTACACTGACTATATTGTTTAAGTTATACTAGTTAAACCTTGACACTCACTTAAAATGCTAAAATGAAATTATCTGTAAGTTTAGTTTACAGCCTTCACAAATTATTTTTCAGAAGCGCTGGTCGTTTATAACTAAAATATAGCTAAAGGGTAACCACCGGGTAGACAAATTAATAGGAAATTTAATTAAGATCATAAAATCTACCCAATATAATTTTTCATGGAGTGCCGTAACACATTAAAATGCTATTCCATTACAATTTGTTGATAACTCAATGTTAATTAAGTAAATCATTGCACATAATTTAATTAAATACTATTTTGAAAAATAAATAATTACGTTACTAATATAATTTATTCTAAACGTACGATGACATTCTCTTTATGTTCAAGTAGTAAATACTCTCAATGTTTTCAAAATGACCTGAAATATTTTTATCGTCTATAAAAAGTTATCTGATACATTCATAAACCCATAAGCTATAAAATGTAATACACCTAACCTGCAATCACCATATTGTTTTTGGTCGTTGAATAAAACATGTGTTGAGCCAAAACAACTATAACAGTACCAACTTGAAAAGTATTTCGCATTTGTTATTCAATCCTAATATTTTAATAAAGAATAGAAAAATATTTTCTTACATTAAGTAATCTAATTAATTTAACATCAAAAATCACAATTATTAGGACTAGGTGGCTGAGTCGGTAAAGTGGCAGGCCTGATAAGCACTGTTTTGAATTCGAGACTCGATTAGTGATTGGAGTTGTCATCCCTCTCTCTCTACTTATCCCGGAGTATACGGGGCTAAAAAACTTCCTCTTAAAAGATACCACAACTGCCCTCAATGAGCCGTAAAAAGCGTAAAAAAAATTATACTTGTTACATATTAATTATTAATATTGAATGATTTTTTAATTTTCTAAATGGCTCATATGAAATATTAGCTGATTGATAATAACTATTAGACTTGAACTGAGAATATTATTAACATTTTTATACCCAGATAGGAGGACAGTTGTTGCTAAAAAATGTCTAATGATAAAAATCGTCACACTCGCGTCTCACCTCCAGTCTATACTTTAAATAGTAACATCGAAAATAATTGGTCAAAATATGTATGTCTTCATTAAGAAAAATAAATTAGACACCCTTATAATGTATTAGAGATGAATTAAAAAAGTAGCAATGTAAACAGTCATATACTGCAATAACAAATATTCGAATTAATTATTTTTACAGCTTAAAACGTTCGCAGCTCAGTAAAAATTAAAAAAAGCTCCTAAGATATATTTTATATTGTAAGAGTTATAAAAAGATCAATATAGGGCCCTATAAGAAATGTATGGATGCCGTTGCGAAAATAGAAGTCATGACGTCACCCTCGTATTTAATATCACCCGTAAGTCAACAACGTGAAGTCTGAAAAAAAAAGTTTTTTTTATCAAAATTCTTGTTACTTTTTGTATTATTTTTTTAATTAATAAAAAAAGTTCATTTTTTAGTTGGGTAGTCCTTTAAGAAATATATAAAATTAAAAAATACCAAAAATAATTTCTTAGTATAATTATTATTTTAAGAGAAATATTGTGACTAAAAAAATCAACTTGTACACTAGTCTGATAACAACACAAATATCATGCGAGTTGTATGCGAAATTATAATTAATAAAACTTTTACAATTATATAACTAAAAAAACTTCTGGATTACACTAACCCTTTTTTAAATAAAACAACATTTTGCATAAATGTTTAATTTAAGAATATAAATTGCACAACAACTTAAAGTGGAAATTAGTATCTTTTTACACACTTGTTAAAGTTTATTTGAATCTGTACTATAATTGCATTATGTTTTGTTACGGCTATTTGAGCACGAGTTTGAAATTAAAAGGAAAATTACCTTCAATCATGGTTAAGATGAAAGTAATGATGTGGCTCATTAAATTTTAGATTATAAAATTATTTGTTTAACATCCAATGATTATTTATTTACGATATAGCAGTTATATGTTTAAATATATAAAATATAATATTTTTTTTTGTTGACAGATAATAAAATTCTACGTTCTATATTATAACAAAAAAAGTGTTCCTATCCCCCTTAAAATATTATCAACATTAGTGTTTTTTTATTAAAACATGTATATTTATTCAATTTACAAACTAGAATATTATCTATCAAGAGGTGAAGACTTAATTTTTATAAATGACAACATACATATTAAACTAGCTTATTAAATAAAAAATTATCTAATTAGGAAAGTGACTGAGAAAAACTTTTGGGCCAGTTGGATAAGTTATAAACTCTTTAATATAAAGACAGTAAGTAAAACGTAGGTCTGTTCATTTTTATACCTAAACATTAATGAACCCCACACGTCCCGTCTTGTTATAAAAAGCTCATATCTTTTAAAGTACTAGACTATAAGTTTTTTTAGATAGACAGTTTTCTAGTTTGTATATTGTTTAGACACATATATTTTCACATAAACACGTTTTTAGTTGATTTAACTTAGGAAAAGGGGAAGATATGACCAATTTGTTTTCTAGAAATTATAGAACGTAAAATACTATTAAGCTTCTGCAAAGAAAAAAATTATATTGCATTATATATTTTTAAAGATATTGCGTTAATGATAGTGAAACTCTATGTAGAAAAAAATAATAATAATTTACCCTTTTTCCTAGTCCAAAACTGTATTGTGGGGAAGCTCGGCGTCCTAGACCGAAGCTGTAAAACGTAGGTGAGGTCCTTTTACCAAGTCCAAACCCATACTGCTTGAGCGCCGCCCGTTTGCCTAGTCCAAATCCATATTGTTTTGATGAGGCTCGTTTTCCAAGACCGAATTGATACTGCCTGTACAACCGCTTGCCTAGTCCAAACCCATATTGTTTATGGGCTCGCTTTGCTGTATTGTACTCATAAGGAACCTGAAGAGGATCAGATTCCAAGTAACTATCCACCGATGGTTGTGACATTGACGGAGAACCGATATCAGCGATGGCTCTCATGACATCAGCTTGTTGTTGCTGCTGTTGGTGTTGGTTTTGAACTTTAGATTTATCATCACCACCAGCCACCAACGTTGTGAAAGTCATTACAGCGACCAAAACAAACCACATGCCACAGTTTTGCATTTCAACCTATATAATATAAATACGAGCTTTAATATAATTTAAAAAAAGTTACAAAAACGGTAGCACAGTGGGGTCGAGGCACAGTGTAGACAAGGCATAGATGGGACAAGTATAGATGATATTTGACAGTGATTAAAATCACTATCATAAGAAACGCTTCGATGCAAATCTGTAGATAGTGTTTCATTTAGAGAAATTGGTGGATTATTCCAAAAGCAACATCAACTCCTATTTCTTTGATTATATCCTAATTAGTAGTTCTTTAATTTAAAAACATAATATATGAATAAATACCAATTATAATTATTAATAGTAGTATGAAATTGATATTCAATAATTTAATATTGTAATTTAAACGGAGAAATTATAAAAATAATAAAGAAGTTGTATTTTGCTTTATTTTTACGTGTATAAAAATTTAAAGGGCTTGATACAATAAATTTCAATAAAAACTGTTACTATAAATAAATGCACTGAACTACAAGGAACTTTCATCAGTAACAAAAATATACCATTCTAATTCAACTTTTCGCGATGTTTTCAAATCTGCAATTAGACAGATCACTACTAAGTTTTAATATTATTAAAAATTAGTATTTACATATAAAAAATTCGCATCGAAGCTAAAAAATTGGTTATTTACTTTTTTTAATTATCTAATTGGATAATTACTATTTACAGTACATTTATCAGAAAAGTTCGATTTTTTTTACATTTTTATCGTTATAGATCACTTAAATAAAAATCATAGTAATCATTTCTAATTAACTTTTGGTGTTTAAAAAGATTCTACAATGGAAATATTCAGAATTTAATTATTTTTAATGATTATATATCTAAAAATCCAATGAAAAAAAAGTTGTTAAAAAGATTTACTCAATCAATTGTAAAAATCTATCTTTAAATTAAGGTGAAACAAAAAATCATTTTTCTTTTAAATTTATAATTTTTATAGCAACAAGTTACAAACAAATTTGGAATATTATAGTAGTACACACAAATAGAGTTAAAAAATTAACGAATTACAATAGAAAATTATTAACTTTAGTAGTTGAATACTTTTATCATATCATATCTAATTCGACAATAAATACTTTAAGAATATTAGAAATTAATGATTTTAATTGTTTGTATGGAAAAAGTTGGTTAAGCTACTTTTTATTTGAATAAGGAATATTTCTTTTAATTTTAAAGAGTAATAACTTAAACTAAATACGAATTGTAATCATTTGACGTATCGTTGAAAAAAGTAGGTCTAGTAAGAGTTGGCAAAATAAATTGTAGCCACAAGAAGAACCACATACTAAAAAAATAACACGAATAAGAAATTTCTTCTGGCGAGGGGAGACTATAGTGATGAAATCCTTGATATTAATTGAAGTTATAGAACCTAAATGAGATAAATATCAAATGATTTGAAAATTTTATTCTAACTCAAAAATAAAAATGCAAAATATTAATTGCCACAGACGGATTTGAACCTCGTCCCCTAAGCGTGAAAGACACATATCGACTGCCCCAACGAAAAAGGTCGTAACTCGATTTTTACTTTTTTTATAAGTAGTATGTCTTAAAAAACTCTGAAGTCATCATTTTTTTAAAAACTGAATCTTGGAATAATTACAGTATCTTTCATTCTACCAGTGATGTTATTTTGGGAAATTTACGTTTAAAAATAAAATAAGAATATAAATTGTAATGCTTGTTTTATTCATACTGAAAAGATAGAAAAAACGAGTTACGACCTTTTTCCTTGGGGCAGTCGATGTGTTACCGATTCGGCAACTGTTCGTTGCTTTCGTCACATGATAAAATTGACTATTTAAGCTAACTCAAATTTAAAAATTACTTATTCGACTATAAAAAACATAAAAAAAATTTAATAAGATTAATTTCTTATGTGTTATGAACTTTATTCTATGTCAATTAAATTATATAATATTCATGAAAGTCAATATATTCTCCTAATAAGATATTTAAAATTAAAATAAAATACAAAACCTAGAATTTTAATAGAAAAATAGCATATTTTTGAATACAGTAGCCAATTGTGCATAGAAGATAGGTCGTCGGGACAAATTTTTTTTTTCATTTTATAGTACATAAAATAAGCTTTAATTTGATATATGTTTAAAGGACGCAGTATTTCCGGAACATTTTCAAAAATTAAGTTGAAAAAGTTAGTTTTTGTAAAAAAGTTGCATTTTAAATCCCCCTTGTGAGCAGAATAAGTGTTAGATTTTCAAAAAAAATGATATCAAATGAAAGGAAAATATCTAAGGTTTTAGTATAAAAAAAATTTATGTTGATTTGTTTATTTTTGAAAATGTTATGGAAGTTCTAAGAAAATAAAGTGAAAAAAATGACAAAATTTACCGATTTTTAAATTTGTAATTTTTTTGGATATTTCCCCCATTTGCGAGGAACGAGGGAAAAATTTTCAATTTTTAAGGGTAATGTCTTCAACTTTGTGATCTTTTGACGAGTTGTTGAAAGAAATCGGTCCAGTGAGAGCTGAGAAAAAGTGGCAACAGATATAAAAAAAAAACACATCATAGTAAAATTAATATCTTCTCAGCTTTGCATCGAAGCTAAAAATGAATCATTCAAGCAATTTTTAATAGTGTTAAAATATTATTCCGCTAATTTTGCCTATCGTACGTATATACGCAATGCGTTTCTAAATAAAGACGGACAGTTTTATAAATAAAATAATATCATTTTATTATTGTATCTATATGCTTATTGTTGATTGCGCATATCATATATATTTAATTTAAAAAAAATTATTATTGTTATTATATTTTCAAAAATATAATATAATAATATGGTTTGTTTAATAAGATTTTATTTATTAAAAATATATTTTCTTATAATTTTTTACATTTTTAAAAATAATGTCGAACTTTGTTTCAAGTTTATTCTTTTAATGTTTTATAAATCTCTCGAAAAATTAGATGATAAAAATCAGTTTTGGTTTTTAGCCAAAGGCAAGTACTTATATTATTGTTGTGTTTCAGATGTACATTTCAAGTTTTATTAGATATTTTAAGGCATAAATAGCAAAGTTAGTTGCTTTTGATATAGAAAATATAATCATAAAGATTATCTTAGAACGAAATTATTTTCACAATATTTAAAAAGACACGGTGTCGTACTATAAATTATAAGGTAATTTCAGTGTCTATTAAACTCTGTTATAAAATCACACTTTATTTTATAATCTTAAAATACGTGAATTTACCTTAAAAAAAAACCCAAAAACTCGCTCATTCTAAAAGTACTTGTTATAACTCATAAAATTTTTTATATAACTCGTAAATGGGTTTATGTGCGTATCATTATTATTAATTTATAATAAAAAGAAATATTTTTAAGAGAACGAAATTTTGTATCATAGTGAAAATAATTTATATATATTGTCAAATATAACATTAAACATGATACACTAAAAAAAAAAATCGTTGAAAGGAACAATATGAAATTAATATGGTTGTGCAACTGACATAGTGAATTATAAATGCGGTAAACCAAATAATATTAACGGTTTCTAATTCAATGATCAATAGCCAAGGCTATTTCCATACGGATAATTCTTTTTGCTGTATAAAAAGTATTTTGTTCTCGAGCTGAGCACAACAAGTATTCTATTATTATTAAATGACAGGGTTCGTTTAGCCATTTGAGTTCAATTATTCTGGACGATTTGTTTTGGTTGTGATTGTTTTGTAATCGGGTTTTGAATTAAGTTCACTGGTTAAACTAACCTACTATCATATGAATATCTCGTTATCCGACCACTCATGATTTATTTTATGTCTTTATGAAAAACTCGAGTCATATCATATTGTGTACTTAAGTCAAAAAATACTTTAATAGTATTGGAAATACAATACGTTTGTTGTTTATGATCATGTCTTATATTTCTCAACGAAAAAACCTTTTAGTATTTTTTCTATTTTAGGAATCATAACGTTANCATTTCAACCTATAAAATATAAATAAGAGCTTTATTGTAATTTAAAAAAATTTATAAAACAAAAATTAATCATTGAAGCAATAGTGTTAAAATATTATTCCGCTAATTTTGCCTATCGTACGTATATACGCAATGCGTTTCTATTTGAACGGACAGTTTTATAAATAAAATATTATCATTTTATTATTGTATCTATATGCTTATTGTTGATTGCACATATTATATATTTAATTAAAAAAAAAATTATTATTGTTATTATATTTTCAAAAATATAATATAATAATATGGTTTGTTTAATAACATTTTATTTATTAAAAATATATTTTCTTATAATTTTTTACATTTTTAAAAATAATGTCGAACTTTGTTTCAAGTTTATTCTTTTAATGTTTTATAAATCTCTCGAAAAATTAGAAGATAAAAATCAGTTTTGGTTTTTAGCCAAAGGCAAATACTTATATTATTGTTGTGTTTCAGATGTACATTTCAAGTTTTATTAGATATTTTAAGGCATAAATAGCAAAGTTAGTTGCTTTTGATATAGAAAATATAATCATAAAGATTATCTTAGAACGAAATTATTTTCACAATATTTAAAAAGACACGGTGTCGTACTATAAATTATAAGGTAATTTGAGTGTCTATTAAACTCTGTTATAAAATCACACTTTATTTTATAATCTTAAAATACGTGAATTTACCTTAAAAAAAACCCCAAAAACTCGCTCATTCTAAAAGTACTTGTTATAACTCATAAAATTTTTTATATAACTCGTAAATGGGTTTTAAATGTGCGTATCATTATTATTAATTTATAATAAAAAGAAATATTTTTAAAGAGAACGAAATTTTGTATCATAGTGAAAATAATTTATATATTGTCAAATATAACATTAAACGTGATACACTAAAAAAAAAAAATCGTTGAAAGGAACAATATGAAATTAATATGGTTGTGCAACTGACATAGTGAACTATAAATGCGGTAAACCAAATAATATTAACGGTTTCTAATTCAATGATCAAT